TGCCTCCCACACATGCCCTGAACAGGTATTGAACCTGCAGCCTTTGGGTGTACGGGATGATGCTCCAGCCAACGGAGCCACCCGGCCTGGGCTCTCTGATTACAGTGGGGCCTTGACTTACGAGTGTCCCGACTAATGAGTTTTTTTGAGATTCAAGCCGTCTCTCTGCTGATTTTTTGCTTTGAGTTGCAAGCTCGAAAAAACTCGGGTTACGAGCCAGCTTCAGATACCCCACCACTAGTTGGCGCAGCGACTGTCACAGTGATTTGACATACGAGTAATTTGAGTTACAAGCTCGGTCACGGAACGAATTAAACTCGTAAGTCAAGGCCCCACTGTGCTTCTTCTCCCGCATTGCTCCTCACATGGCTTTTTGCCACTCAGAGGGATTTTAGACTTTCTGGATCTCTTCCACATGTCTTACAGCTCTGCTCTCATTTTTCCTGCCTCAGGTTTTTCTGGACAATCGGGTGGCTTTATCTGCCTTACAAATTTGTCATTTTTCAGCTCCGGTGTTAACAGATGTTTATTTTGGCTGCCATCTTTCTCATTTCCAAGAACTTCCCTTTGTCTGATTGTCCCTTCCGCCTCGCACCCGTGCTGTGTGGTGGCTGCATTAGCGCGACACTGATAAGGCCGGGCTGAGGGGTTCCCCTCTGTTCCTGATTATCCCGTTTCCGCTTGGGGGGCTATTGTGTAAACTCAGCTGAGCAGGCGTGGGAGCCCAGACACGCACTGGCTCTGGGTGGGTTCCGGAAGGTTTGGTGAATAGGAGAGTCTGCCTTGCCCTCCCTGGGAATAATGACAAACCCCTAATCTCTGAAGAGCCTTTGCAGGGACGGGGGCAGAATACAGGCTGGGACAGGCTGTGATAAAAGCAGGTGAGCCGGCTTCTGCTTCCTTCCACCTCCACCCCCTCTTCCCCTGTCACCTGCTCATCCTCAGCCCGTCCCTCCCCACTTTCCCCCCTCCCTCTCTCATTATCCCCCAGGTCCCAGCAAGCCCAGGTCTTCAGTTTAGCAGATACTCAATTGGCCCGAGGCCAACAATAACAGCAGCGAGGGATAGAGCTGTCAGAACAAACACTGCTGTGCATCTGGACTGCCATCAGCCCCACTTCACTGGGGGAATTGAGGCACGGGGCCATGAGATCGCTTGCCCAAGGTCACGCATTCAGTAAGTGGCGGAGCTGGGATCCAAACCCAGGCGACTGAGCTCACTGAAGGGAAACAAACTCCTGGAAACCTTTCTGGATGCCCCTCAGCCTGGCTGAGGACCCTGCGGACTCCCTGGCTGCCCCCTCAGGGCCGCTGTCCTGGCTGTGTCCCACCCGCTCCCTCCCCCGCTTTACTCTTCCTTCAGATCTCAGACTCAGGGCAGGCATGGCTCCTCTGACACTGCCCAGCCAAAGGCATGGCCTGGTGCTTATAAAAGTTCTTGCGTGCTCCCGCTAGGACGCCGTTCCGTGGGGGCAGGGTTGTCTGTCATCCCCCATCTGTCCCGCATCGGGACCATTCAGGCAGCATTTGTCACACAGGGGAAAACGCGCCCTCCTCATCCTGGTCTACAGGGGCCCCCCTTCCCCACCTCCCATCACTGTCCCTTGTTAACTGTGGCCTAAGCCCAGCTGATGTGGTTCAGTGGTGGTTCCTTGACCTATGAACCAGGAGGTCACGGTTCGATTCCTGAGCACATGCTTAGGTTGCAGGCTCACATCCCCAGTGGGGGGCGTGCAGGAGGCAGCCGATCAATGATTCTCTCTCATCATTGATGCTTCTATCTCTTGCTCCCTCTCCTTTTCTCTCTGAATGAAATACACACACACACACACACACACACACACACACACACTAGAGGCCTGATGCACAAAATTCGTGCACGAAGGGGGTGTCCCTCAGCCCAGCCTGCCCCTCTCGCAATCCGGCACTGCAGGCTCCTAACCGCTCGCCTGCCTGCCTGATCGCCCTTAACCACTCTGCCTGCCTGCATGATCACCCCTAACTGCTCGCCTGCCTGCCTGATTGCCCCTAACCGCCTCTGCCTCGGTCCCCCGCCGTGGTGGCTTCATCCGGAAGGATGTCCGGAATGACATCCGTAAGGTCATTTGGCCGTCCGGTCTAATTAGCGTATTATGCTTTTATTATTATAGATATATACACACAAACAACAGTGGCCTAAGCTGCATTCTCCTTGCTTTTTCTTGCCTTTGCACATACCCTCAAAACCAGGGAGTCCTGGGTTCTCTCCTGTCACGCTGGGGAGTCCTCAGGAGCACATACGCGCTCGGTCAGTGTGGAGCCCAGCCCCTGCCTCCTCCAGGAGCTCACTTCTAGAAGAGAGGCACAGCATTCTAGGTGCTGAGATACATCACCCCCAGAACAGAGCCCCTCCGTGGGGTTTTCCTGCAGCCAAGGGCCTCATCCCCCAACAGCTAGGGGCGTCCCCCAAGTTGACAGGCACAGGGTCGGTGGTGACACTCCCTGAGCCCAGCTTGGAGTGCTGTTTTCCAGCTCCTTGAATCCCAGAAGGACCCTGGGAAGCATGCTGTGAACACTGTCCTCGTTTTATATACGAGGAAGCCCAGGCACAGGGCGGTTAGCCACTGCCCAGTCCCACCGCTGGTACGTGTTACTGGGCACCGGTCCCCCTCCCTCCTCAGTGTCTCTCACAGGCCCAGCTTATCTCCCATTAGTCATCAGACCCCTCCCACAGCCCGACAGGAAGCTGTGTCCTCACCCAGGCCTGGTTCCCATGGGTGGAGCAGAGAAGGGCCTGGGTGCCCAGTGGCCTGGCTGAGGAGAGGGCGCCTGGCTTGGAAATTCGGTGACCCCTGCTTGGCCCTTGCCACCACACCGGGGCCAGGACAGCTGTGGTGTCCCTGCCACCCGACCATCTGGCCACCTAGGCTTGGGAGACAGATTGCTCAGGTTTGCAAGATCCAAGGCTGCCCACGGCAGGGTTCACCTCTCCCCTCTGAGCCTGTTTTCGGGTGTGAAGTTGCCTACCTCATGGGGTTGTTAAAATTAAGCGGGAGGTTTGTACAGAGGACCTGCACACAGTATACGCGCAAGTCCCGCCCCTTCGCCTGTTCAGCGCCTGTTTCTTAAGCAGCTCCCTCCCAGGTGCCAAGGCCCATGTTGGCTGCTGGGGGCTGGCCTGGTCCCCACCCTTACAGGGCTGTGTCCCCACTCAGTGACAGTGCAGAGTGCAGGGCTGATTGCACACTGCCCTGGGAGAGACCATAAGAAGGCTCGCGGGAGTCGGGCAGAGGGAACAGTGAGTGGAAGTGTGTCGCGGGGTGGAGGTGGCGGAGGCAGGGCTGGGTCCCAGAAGGCGGTGTGAAGCCTGCTGAGGAGGCCCAATCGTCATCTCAGGCTGGATCTCAGCAGAAAAACCCATTCACCATGCAGGCGGCTCCGTGATAGCAGGGGCCCCGAGAGAAGACTGACCAGCTGACCAACCATCATTCCCAAAGGAAGGCGGGGCCAGAGGGGAGGCGGGGAGGGGCTCAGGTCTGGGCACTGCAGCCTCCTGAGGAGCAGCTGCGTCCCCCAGGGTTCTCACTTCTGGCTCCGCTTCCCGCCATAGGCTGAGGTGGTATTTCTTTTTTTTTTTTTTTTAATATATTTTATTGATTTTTTACAGAGAGGAAGGGAGAGGGATAGAGAGTTAGAAACATGGATGAGAGAAACATCGACCAGCTGCCTCCTGCACACTCCCTACTGGGGATGTGCCCGCAACCCAGGTACATGCCCTTGACCGGAATCGACCCCGGGACCCTTCAGTCTGCAGGCGACGCTCTAGCCACTGAGCCAAACCGGTTAGGGCTGACGTGGTATTTCTGATGCCGCAACCTGGACCTCCCTCTGAACGAAAGGGCCGCATACTAAACCTGAAACGCTCAGGGATGGTCTGAACATCCAAGTTCCCAACCAAAGTGAGTCACAGCTGTCAGTCACATCCCAGCCCCGGAGTCCTTGACAAGTTACCTTCAGTGAGCCTGTCTATTGTCTTTGCGCCTAAGGTAACATACCTTTGAAATGTCAGAGAAATCTCCCTTTTCAGACCCCTCAGGGCGCACCCACCCACCCACCCACCCGGGCAGAGGCCACGGGATCCGTCACTCGTCTCGCTCCCCGCACACCGTCTGTGTGTGCTAGGAATGCTCGTTGTTACTGTCCTGTACCCATGAACATAAAAGGGGATGTGTCTCTGTTTTACTTTTCACCCAATCCCAGAGATGCCACCCCCCTTACTTCCTCTGCCCCTAAATCTACCACCCACGGACTGATTTCCTGTAACCCTCCCAACCCGCCGCCGCCTCAGATTCTAATGGGGAAGGGAAGCTTCGGCACTGTCATTCTCAAATAAACACATAAAAATTCACTACAGGTTTGGACGGTTTCTATGTCGACAGCACCCTCAGCTCTCTCCAGGTCACCCCAAATGACAAACGGGCTCTCCGGCCACGCTGTTCCCCTCCCCATGCCCCGGCCTCTCCCACTGGGAGGCCCCCGCCTGGCCTCCACAAAACCACTTGGCTGCACTGCCTTCCCCCGGCGCTCAGGGAGCAGCTCCCTCCCAGCGCCTGTGTGTCCTTCCCTGGTTCCTGGCTGATGTTTTGAGACTTGCGGCCCCCCGCTGGCCCGGCCAGGCACAGGCCTTGCTGCCGCTGGAGCCCTTAGACAGGGCTCCTTCAGCTTCTGGGGTGATCAGGGAGTTGTGCTTGGTGATGGGTGCTCTCAGGAAAGAGTTGACCAGCAGGGTAAAGCAGAGTGTGGGGAATACCCCCATTTTTCCTGGAGCAGGGGGAGCTGGCCCTGTGGGGTGATGGGATCCTCAGGGGGGCAAAGCCAGCCGGCCCTTCTGCGGGCCTGAGCCGCCCTGGCCAGGCAGTGCTGAACCGGAGAGATGGCCGGGCCCCTTGCAGCTGCCTCGCTGGGTGGCTCCCCATTGGCGGTGGCTGAGTGCCCCTGAGCCTCTCCTCCTTGGTCTTCTAGGGACAGAAGACGAGCCTGCTGGTCCTGGAGGGGATGGGCTTCCGCGTGGGCCAAGCCCTGGGTGAGAGGTGAGCGTCGGCCCCTCCTGTGTACCCCCCCCCCCCCACGGGACTCAAGGCGGCGGGTTACCTTGCTCCCCACAGGAACCCAGCCTGGTTGCCCCACACACGCCCTGGGCCCCCAACCCTGGGCCCCCAACCCTGGCCCCGCCTGACTCGGTGTCTGCCGCTGCCCCCCAGGCTGCCCCGGGAGATGCTGGCCTTCAGGGAGGAGCTGGACGTCCTCAAGTTCCTGTGCAAAGACCTGTGGGGGGCCGTGTTCCAAAAGCAGATGGACAGCCTCCGCACCAATCACCAGGTGAGCGCCCGCCCATTGCCCGGCTTCCTGGCTACAGCTCCTGAGGGGGACCCTGTGCCAAGGAGGCAGGGACCGGGCTCAGCCCTGGGCAGCCCCACCCTCCTTGGGGAGGCGCCGAAGCTCTTGCCAGTTTCCATGCGCCTCCAGGATGGGGCCAGAGCTGGCAGTCTTGCCTCACATGACACTGCCTGTCTTAACCTGGCCCGAGCTCCCCTTAGTCGTCCACCCTGCTGGCCACTTCCCAGGCCGGGTCTGTAGCTTCTCACCACAACCCGGGGAAGTCACACGGCCAGAGGGGCAGGGCCAGCGCCCCCGGGTGACCGGCCCCAGAAGCCTGTGGCTCCTCTGCAGTCTGAAGGATGGGCCATGCCTACCGTGTTGCTTTGTTTTCAGTCTCACCGAGGACATTTTCATTGATTTTTAGAGAGAGGGGAAGGGGGAGAGAGAGAGAGAGAAACATCAGTCAGTTGCCTCCCACATGGGCCCCGATCACCTCGGGGCTGGGGTTTAGGTATGTGCCCTGAATTGACCTTTCGGTGCAGGGGACGACGCCCAACCAGTGAGCCACACTGGCCAGGGCTACAGTGGTTTTGAGGAGAGCATCCTCCAGAGCCCTGGCTTCCCCTCCCCCCACGCAAATGCACGGGCACCGCCTGAGCCCACAGCCTCTCCTCTGTCCTCAGGGCACCTACGTCCTACAGGACAGCAGCTTCCCCCTGCTCGTCCGGATGGGCTCAGGCCTGCAGTATCTGGAGGAAGCACCCAAGGTAGGGGGTGCTGGGACACATCCCCAGTTCACTTCTCCTACTTACCCATCCCCCACCCCCACCCCACCCCAAGGTACGCCTCTCCCCAGGCCAAGGGGTTGACCCCACTGTGAAGCCCGAAGCCCGGCCCGGCCCTGGCCCTGGGTGTTGGCCTCCCCTTTTCCCACAGTGACCTGTGCCCCCCGCCCCCAGTTCCTGGCCTTCACCTGCGGCCTCCTGCGCGGCACCCTCAGCACCCTGGGCATCAAGAGCCTGGTCACCGCCTCCGTGGCAGCCCTGCCAGCCTGTGAGTCGTGGGAGTGTGGCAGGGGCTCAGCTCCCCTGTCCCTACTCCCATAGGCCAGGCCCCCCAGCACAGTGTTTAGGTGGGAAATTGGAGACCCCAAGAGCTGAAGTCACATGCCAGGCACACAGTGGGTGTGGTCCATCCATGTCCCTGGCCCCTGAGGTCCCCCAGCCTGCCTCCTGGTATGTGCCAGACCAGAGAGAGAACCCCCCCGCCCCCCCAGAATGGCCTGGTCTGGTCTCAGATGTTCTTCCCGGCGTGGAAACCCGCGTAGACATAGAAGTCATCCAGATGGGGCTCCAGAGGCAGCATGGGACCTGCAGCCTGCGTGACGGTGTTCTGACCCCCTGAAGCCCGTTCCTGCCGGGGCAGCGGCACCCATCCTCCACCCTCCCTCCCCAAGGTGTTTTTCCTCTGCCAGGCTCCCGGGCCCATCCATGGTTAGGGCCTGGGCAATACATGCCATAAAAGCCTGTGCCAGGCCCTTCCCTACATGCTTGACCTTCATGCCTCAGTCACACTTCGCCCTGGGATGCAGGCCAGGCGGGTGGGAGTGTCGCCCACTTCGCACAGGGAGGCCACGCACTGTTGGTGCAGGGCCTGCGCGGTTCGGATGCTTCCCGCCTCTCCCCTCAGGTCCCTGCCTCAGGCTAAAGCCAGCCCTTCTCTTCCAGGTAAGTTCCAGGTGGTGATCCAGAGATCCTGAGCCCCGGCCCGTCCCCACTGAGTCCCACAGCCGCCCCGTCCCCACTGAGTCCCACAGCCGCCCCGGCCCCACTGAGTCCCACAGCCGCCCCGGCCCCACTGAGTCCCACAGCCGCCCCGGCCCCACTGAGTCCCACAGCCGCCCCGGCCCCGGGACCCCGGGCCGCTGCTGGGGAATCTCGGACTCGGGGGGGTGATGAGCACGGCAGGGGATCCAGCCATTTCAGGGCATCACACGTGCTCAAGAAGTGGATGTCCTAGGAGGTGGGGGCATCCCGGGGCAGGGTGGTCCCAGCCGCCATGGGGCCTGGTGTGGCGAGATCCCATTGGACACATCACTCACTCTGCAGATGCTCAATAAAGGTTCCAGGTGTGGAGACAAGTTCAAGTGGACGACGGGGTCACTCTCTGAGCTCTAGGGGGATGGGGTGTCTGTAAAGTGACTGTGTCACAGGGCCTGTGGCAGGAGGGGGGCAGAGCACCCTGTGTGGGCTCCCTGCCCCTCATCACCTCCCTTTCTGGGGCCCCATTCTCCCCCAGGCCTGAGTCCTGGAGCTTGCGCAGCTATTATGGGAGGGTGGCCCTGGCCATCGCAACCCCACCAGCATCCACACGTGTGGGGCTGCCCTTTGCCCAGTGGGGCCCACAGCATGGGCCTCTCCCTGGGGAGTGGGGCCAGGGGTGCAGGTGGCCGAGAGGGAATGGATGCAAGTGGGGAGCGGGCCAGACACCCTTATTTCCCCCGACACACACACTGTACACACTGTACACACTTCACATGCCTGGCAGACACGAGTCATACCCAGGACAGTGGCCCCTGCCCCGCCCTCCCCCACTTACATCCATAACATGGGCAGCACCATGCGCCTGGAACACTCGGGCACCGCCACCTGCTGCCCATGTGGGCAAGTCCCTCCACCTCAGAGCTGCCAGCCACGCCGGGGTGAGACCCAGGTGGGTTTAACCAAGGCCCCTGCGCCCTGTAGAGTTCAGTACAGGCCCTGGGCCCTGCCTGGCCTGCCCCCCGGCCACACGCTGAGGGGGAGTGCTGCATTCCCTGGCCTGCCTCTGCCTTTGCACATGCCATTCCCTTCCCAGGCTGCCCAGCCCTCTGCCACCTCCAAACTCCTATTCCCTCGTGGGTGTCCAGTAGCCACTCAGCCTCTTGGAGCTGCCACCCACCGCCCTTCCTGGTGGAATCCTGGGTGTTTACTTATTCCCTGATCCCTCTGCCTGTGGCGGCCCTGCCCAGCTTAGAGCCGGACAGATGCTCCTGGGTGAATCACAATTACTCAGCTAAACCCTGTGTGCGGGCCGCCGGCTCCTTTGAGAAGCTCAGGGGCCCACCCTGGAGGTTCCCCCACAGACTCACCCCCTATCGGGACCGAGTCCGGACTTGGAGGACAGGGAGGAAGCCCTCCCTGGAGAAGCGACTTGAAGGCCTGGGGGAGGAGGGACAGCCAGGCACAGGCGTCCTCTATCTCGAGCCCCCCTGTCCTGGGTACTGTTTGTGGTTGCCCCCCCCCCCCCCCGTCCCCATCAGCTCACCCATCTCCCGGGCAGCCACTGGTGGTGTAGGGAGCAGGACCCTGGGAACAGAGGGGCACCCATGGTATCAGGCTCCTCTTGTCCGGCCCCGGCCCCGCCCTCACCTCTGCAAGGATGTCTTAAAGGGACCCCACCTATCAGGAGGCAGATCCTGAACACAAACCACTGCTCCCTCATCAGGTCGGGCGCGATGAGGAAGAACGGGGCTAGTGTGCGAGAGGCATGTCCGCCATGTGAGGCCCTGGTGGCCTGCACAGCGTGTGTCGTCATTACATGAGAGGCATTTACAGCAGCCGGGTAAATGGGTCAGTATGTCCCCACATGTTAGCTGCTGTCATTGCCACATCCCACGCTCTGCTCCGTGGACTCCCTGACAACCACAAGAAATGGGCACGGACACCGGCCCACTCAGCAATGAGGAAGCCCGGGCTCAGAGAGGTGAAGTCACCTGCCCGAGATCACACAGCTGGGCCCTGGAGGACCTGAACCCGGGATTGCATCCTGGCTTGGGCTCAGTCCCTGCCCCAGCCTCCTTCCCTCTCACAGCAGAAGTGCCGGGGGCCTGGCCGCCACAGGCCCTTTGGCAGGTCCCACCCAGGCAGCACGGGGGCCAGTCACCTCCATCCGTGAGCTCAGGTACTGTGCAGGGGCAGGCCCCCCAGGCCTGGAGAGCGGAGGGCGCCTGGCAAGCTGAGGGAAAGGGGAGGGGACTGGGCAGGCAAACCGGTCCGGTCCGTCAGGCAGCTCAGCTCCTGGCTCCCGGGCCTCTCACCAGTTGGGCCTGCCCTGGCGGCGGCGGCGGGGGAGCTGAGGCCTCCAGACCCAGGCAGCAATCAGGTACGGAGACCCCAAGCCGGGGGGCAGTGGGCAGGGGCCGCATGCCTGGCCCCCAACCCTCACTGAGCCCCAACTCTCACCACTCCCATTTCTCACCAATTCACCTGTCCTGCCACCCTCTTCCCCCCAACAATGTCCCTCCCTCCCTTCTGTTTTCGGTGCCTCACGTTTTAAACCCAGGGCACCCATCTCACCCCGAGCTTGCTGAGCCTCTCTCTAAATGGAACCCCCTGCTTTCTTCTCTCCCAGAACTCCCCCCTCCAGCTGCCCATTCAGTCTCCACATGGACCCAGCCCTGAGACTCGGCCATTGGATGCTCCCAATCCCCAGCCCCCAGCGCACTGGGCTCCCCCCGTGGCCTTCAAACAGCGCCAGCCTGGCTTCCCACAGCACGTGCCCCCCGTGCCCAGTGCCACCCACCAGCTCCTGCTTCCCCAGCCCACCTCTGCTCAGCACCCCATCGTCCCGGCCTCCTGAAAACTCCCATGGTGCCAAACACCCAATCAATGGACCCTTGAAAATCTCACCCACCTCATATTAGCCCCAGGTCCCCCTCAACCCCGACCTCCCTCCTGGACCTGGCCATCCCTCCCCTGGGCCTGGCCTCTCTCACTCTGAGGAGCACCCCTGCCCCACCTGGACCTGGGAGCCAACACAGGGCTGGGGTCTCTCTTGTCCCAGGTCTCGCGGCTTCCTGGACGTGGGCTCCTGCTGCTGGCGCCAGGGGCTGGGCAGCCGGCCGCCATGCACCAGCACTACACCGTCCACTTCGCCAAGGGCACCCTGCCCCCCCGGAGCCCTACCGAGGGCTACTTCTTGGATCCAGAGTTGGGGCACCAAAAAGGTAGGGGTACAGTTTGGGGGGGTCCTGGCAGGGAGGCGTGTGAGTGGGGGGCTGCCAAGTGGATGGTGGGGCAGAAGCTCAGGCCCCCGAAGGGAAGTCACCACACGCCCCGGAGATGGGGCCGGGGGGGGGGGGGGGACACAGACCCGGGGGCCAAAGCTGGGAGCCGGGCTGGGATGTCAGCAGAGGAGGCCCACCTGGCCCGCCCTTCCCAGTGTGGGAAGAGGCTCCAGGCTGTGGGGACTGCCCTCAGCCCGGACAAGCAGCTTGGTGGGAGGGGGGAGAGGGGAGGGAGGGAGGGCTGGAGGGCTGGAAAGCAGCCGCTGACCGAGTGTATGAATGAGGTGGGGGTCAGAGTCCCGGGCTGCCCCTTCCCACCAGCCTAGGCTGGAGCCTGGATGGAGGCCAACCCCCTCCACCCCATCCCTGCCCTGTCCCCTTTCCATGGCCACCTCCCATCATCTGGCCTCCTCTGGACCAGCCAGGCCAGTTCCCCATGGATTCCTCTGTCACCCACTGGGGGACCCCCAGGGACCAAGCAGTTCGGGGTGGCAGGGACTCTGGGTCATCCCCTCTCCAGCCCCTGGCCCAGTTAAAGCCCAGGCCTGCACCACTTCCCCCACTCATGGTGGGGCACAGAGCCCCCACCCACAGCGGAGGGTCAGCCCCAGGCTCCCTCTGAAACCCGACCTGGTTCCTGCCAGTGGCCCCAGGAGTCAGGGACCCAGGCCCAGTCACCCCCACTTCCTTCCTTCCAGGATGCTGTCAGCAGTGGTGCCATGACCCAGCGGCCCTGCCAGCCCACAGGCCCTATCAGCTGTCCCCCCAGGTGTGGTGGCAGCTGGCCTACCACAGCCACCAGGGGTGTGTCGGGGGCTGTCGCTGGGGCCCCCAGCCCCCTATCCTGCAGCAGCAGAGGCAGCCCCACCCCGCACCTTCTAGCCCCCTGCGGCAGCATCTCTGCCCTGTTCCTGGTGCCCAGAAGGGATCACCTACAACCACCACTGCCCCCAAGGGACCGGCCTGCGCCCCCCAGCTGCCCCCTGCACCCACCACAGCACCCACCATGGCCAGCAGAGGCCCAGCCCTGCCCTCCGCATCCAGCATCCACAGGCCCACTGATGCCGGGTCCTGCAGCTCCGGTGCCCACCCAGCCTCCCTGGGCTCTGTCCCTGCCACCTCGCTTCCCGCCTGGGCCTGGAGCCTGCCCTCATCCCTCCCTCTGGTCCCTGTCTGAGAGGGTGCTTGTCCCTGACCCTGGGCCTCGGGCGGCCATTCTGCTTCATCTGTTGGGATCCAAAGCTTCCAGGCAGGGCCTGTCCATGGTGCCTCCATCCCGGGCTGGCCAGGGGCCTGGGCTGACTCCCTCACTGACTCCCTTGCTCTGCTTTCTGTCTCACTGGCCCTCCCTCCCCTGGCCCAGCAGGCCACAGCGGATGTGTGGCAGGGCCGGTGAGCACCAGCTTGCTGGCCAGCTCTGGTTGCGGGAGGTGGTCAATGAGCAGCTGCAGCAAGAGGTAGGGAGTGGGCTGGGGATGGAGAGAGCAGTGCAGCGATGGGAGGGATCCATTCATTCATTCATTCACTCACTCATTCGCTGGCCAGGTATTAAACGCCTGCAGCGGGTGTGAGGCTCTGTTCTGGGGGGCAAAGGGAGCAGGGCAGACAGACCGAGGCCCTCCTGGAGCTCACATTCTATGGGGGCGGAGGGGGGCGGGCGGGTGCAGGAAATGAGAACTAGGAAAGTTTAGAAGCCCATCAGCACCCTGGAGAAGAACACAGCGGGAGAACAGATAGGGAGCATCAGGGTTTAAACTGTCATCATTAAGGCGGCAGCTGAGCGAAGACGGGCAGTTCTCTTGAGTAAGTGGGGCAGGATCCGCAAAGGCCGACTGGGGGGCAGCAAGGAGGCCAGTGTGGCTGCAGCGCAGGGGGAGAGGGCAGAGGGCTGATGGGGGGATGGGATGGGAGTGACTCGGGTCTAACAGGAGAGTGAACTGTGGGAGGCGCGGGCGGATGCACGAGTCCAGGCCAGAGGTGTGGTGGCCTAACCTGGGAGACAGGTGGGGTCACGAAGCTGGTTTCCAATTCTGGTTAGAAAATAGAGCAACAGCTGAGCAGGGACTGGGGCTCCAGGTCAGGAACCCCCTTATCCCGGGAGCCCAGTTCCCACACAGACAAGCAGAGGATGAATGAGGAGAGGCCTCTGCGAAAGGCTGGCCCTGCGACTCCCTCCACCCATGACTGAGCCCTGCCTTTCTGGCGCCCCAACCACAGGGGCTTTCATAGGGTGTCAGGCCTTAACCCCAAGTGCGCCCTTAACGGCCATTCCAGACCACGGCAGTGTCTGAGGGCCTGTCCCTGGCCAGATCCTTTGGTTCCCAGGCCCCCAGTGTCTCTGCCATCCACTCCCAGAGGCACCACCCTCGGGTCACCCAGAGAAAGGTGACAGGGCCAGGACCAGAAGGCAGGTCTGCCTGGGCTCAGGGCAGGATGAGTGACTGTGGGCATGGGGTCATGGAGAGGGAAGAGGTCAGGGCCAGGGCTGGACAGGGAACTGAGAGGCGCCTGTGGTCACAGGAACCCAGTCCACACTGAAGCCAGGCAGCAGAGCAGGCAGCAGTGGACGCTCGAGCACGGGAAGCGATGTCTTCAGCACCCAAGGGCCTGGAGTCCCAAGAAAAGACCGGGGGGTTTTCCCAGGGGGACCATGGACTGGTGGCCTAGGGCCAGGGTGGCCAAATTAGCACAGGTCTCCGGGCTGGGGCCAGGGGAGTCTGGCCTCCCGGCCTTTGGCTGGTGAATTCGGGGTCAGCTCATCCTGGGCGGCCAGGGGGGCACATTGGCCCGGAGGAAGGGGCTGCCTTCGGCCACAGGAGCCTCCACCTGAGGTTTCACTGTCTTCTCTGGGACTGGGGTGCTGGTGCAGGGAGGGGCTGAGAGCGGTGCTCTGGAGGGGCAGGCAGATGGGAGGAGGGGGTGCCCGGCCAGCCTCACTGACTGTTTCTCCACCTCTACCCCCTCCCCAACCCTGGCCCCCAGATATCCTGACAGAGGATGATGTATACTGCAGCTGCCTGGCCAAGACCCTCTGCCACGTGCCTGTGCCTGTGACCGTGGGTTTCTATGCCGCCTTTGGCTGCCGCCTGCACCTGATGCTGGACAAGATCACGGGTGAGGATCTGTGTGTGTTGGGGGTGAGGGCACAGGAAATGGAGCCTCTGCTCCTTGCCCAGCCCCAGGCTTCCCCAAGATCCACTCGCCCCTGAGGCCAGCCTGCCCCAGTCCAGTGGCCATAACTTACCTTTAACCAGGTTCCCACCCAGGCCCCAGCCTCTGCCCCGCATCCCTGCCCCCACCCCTGCCCTCATCCCTGCCCCCACCCTTGCCCCTATCCTTACCCCTATCCTTACCCCCATCCCTACCCCCATCCCTGCTCCAGTTTCCTCTCTGACCTCCTGGCATCCAGTCTCAGCCCCCTCCCTTCCAAATCCTCTCCAAGGAATTTTCTAGAATACATACCTGTCCCTGTCATTCCCCTGCTCAGACGCCTTCTATGGCTCCCGAACACGCCCCAGTTCCTCACTGAGGCTGCAGGACCCATCCCTTCTCCTGGAGCCCACAAGAGCCCTAACAGATAGGTGCTAACTGCCGACATGAGCTGAACCTGGCCAGGATCTGCAGCAGCTTGAACCTGGTTCAAGCCCTGCTGGAGCTCAGCCCCCAGCCCCAGTGGTGGCCAGAAGGGCTGGAGGTGACTCCCCTCCATGTGCCAGGCCTGGTGAGCACCTAATAAACTAGCCCACGCCTGCCCCGTGTTGTCCTGGGAGGAGAAAAGATTCGACTATAGCAGCGGTTCTCAACCTGTGGGTCGCGACCCCTTTGGCGGTTGAACGACTCACAGGTCGCCTAAGACCATCCTGCATATCAGATGTTTACATTACAATTCATAACAGTAGCAACATTTTAGTTATGAAGTAGCAACGAAAATAATTTTATGGTTGGGTCACAACATGAGGAACTGTATTTATTTTTTATTTATTTATTTTAAAATATATTTTATTGATATTTTACAGAGAGGAAGGGAGAGAGATAGAGAGTTAGAAACATCGATGAGAGAGAAACATCGATCAGCTGCCTCCTGCACATCTCCCACTGGGGATGTGTCCACAACCCAGGTACATGCCCTTGACCGGAATCGAACCTGGGACCTTTCAGTCCGCAAGCCGACGCTCTATCCACTGAGCCAAACAGGTTTCGGCTGTATTTAAGGGCCAGAAGGTTGAGAACCACTGGACTATAGGGAGAAGGGAATACCATTTGGAGCACCGTCTGTGCTAGGTGGCTCGACACGTTCCCATTCATTCATTCACTAACTTCACTGCAGACAGATGCCCCTCTCATGACCCATCCTTCAAACATTCCCCCAACACTTCCTTGGTGACCAAGACAACCAGGGCCCTGCCCTTCAAGGGCTCACAGTCCAGAGAGAGAGACACACCTGTCCCCAGTGACAACTCAAAGTGGGTGAGACCACTGGGAGGGAGGTGGGGCGGGGGAGAGCCAGGGGGCATCTAATTCAGTCTGGGTATCAGGGAGGACTTCCTGGAGGAGGAGACAGCTGAGCTGAGAGCTGGAGGAAGAGGAGCAGGAAAATCAGATCAAGGCTGTTCCCTTGCTGCCCAACATTTCTCTTCATCAGAACCTCGTAATCACTCCTTAAAGCCTTCCCTGCACTCTCCCTTCCTCTTCATCTGGGGGCTCTACTTATGTCCATCCCTGACCCTCCTGGGCCTCGCCCTCAGACCCTTCCCGATCCAAGCTGGCTCCAAATCTTTCCTTCCTCATTTTCTACGCCTGCCCAGGCTTTCCCCGCCCGGCCCATTCTAATACCCAGGCCCCGCCCCTGCCCGAGTCCCGCCCAGGTGAGCCCCGCCCAGGCCCGAGCTCCGCCCCCGGCCCGAGCGTGGCCGCTGCAGCTCCGCCGACCGCGCCCTCCGTCCCCACAGCGCTGATGCAGCAGGACGCGAGGCAGCTGGAGGCCGAGCTGCTGCAGCGCGTGCAGTGGCGGCCGCGGTCCGTGCGCGGCTGGGGCTTCGTGCAGCTGCTGTGGTACCTGGTGTTCCTGCAGCCGATCATCTCCGAGGTGCACCTGCGGCGCAAGAACGTGAAGTTCCTCTTCATCCGCTTCAGCGCCTGGCAGTACGAGGGCTCGGACAAGCTGTGGGCCGGCCTGGTGACCACGCTGTGTGAGGGCATCCGCCACCACTACGGCGCGCTGCCCTTCAGCGTGTACTCGGTGATGGGCAACAAGCCGATCACGGCGCCGGGCTTCTGCCAGCGCGAATGGCGCTGCCGGCGCCGCGTGTGCCTGGCGCTGGTGGCCGTGGTGGCGGCGCTGGCCCTCGGCGTGTCCCTGCTCTACCTGTCCCTGGGCGGCCACGCGCAGAGCCACAGTAGCGCGCACAGCAGCGTGATGCGGGCGTTCGGCGGCGCGGCCACCACGCTTTCGGGCTCGGGCCTGCTCATGGCCGTGTTCTCGGTGGGCAAGCACCTGTTCGTGAGCCAGCGCAAAAAGATCGAGCGGCTCGTGTCGCAGGAGAAATTCGGCAGCCAGCTGGGCTTCATGTGCGAGGTGAAGAAGGAGGTGGAGCTGCTCACCGACTACCTGTGCTTCCTGGAGATCTACCAGCGGCGCCGGCTGCGCGTCGTGCTCGAGATCACCGGGTTGGACACGTGCTACTCTGAACACGTGGTGGGCGTGCTCAACGCCATCAACACGCTGTTGTCTGACTGCCACGCGCCCTTCATCTTCATCCTGGTGGTGGACCCCAGCATCCTGGCCGCGTGCCTCGAAAGCTCCGGCTCCATGAAGGGCACGGCCGACAACGGCTACGTCTTCCTCAATCGCACTGTCACGCTGCCCTTCTCCGTGCCCATCATGGGCCACCGCACGAAGCTGCAGTTCCTGCACGACGCCGTGCAGAGCCGCGACGACCTGTTGTACCGCGAGATGACGCGCCAGCTGCGGCCACTGAGCCCGGGCGGTGACGAGGGCGCGCAGCTGCTGGCCCGGGACACGCAGGCGGGGGCCGAGCGCGCGCAGAGCCTCATCGACGCAGAGGCGACGCGCCGCATCCAGGAGGCGCTCTTCTGCCTGCACGACGAGCGCGACTGCCTCTACGAGTACGTGCCCGACAACCTGGTGTGCATGCGGCGCATCGTCAACACCGTGCCCATCACCTTGCGCCTGCTGCAACAGCAGCAGCGGGACTTCGGGGGCCCCACGCCGCGCCAGGCCGTGGCCTGGGTCGTGCTCGCCAACCAGTGGCCCTGCCGCCTCAGCTGGGCGCTGCAGTGCCTGGAGGACCAGCAGCAGGCCGGGGGCGCGCACGAGGCCCGCGCGCGTCTCTGGGACGTGTTCCGCGACAACAGCAGCGAGCTGCACTCCCTGACCAAGGAGCTGCATAACGTGCTGGACCTGGACGGCGACCCCGAGCTCTTCCAGCGCTTCCTGAGCGCCGACTTCCCCTTCACCGTGGCCGAGGCACAGAACCTGCTGCGCTGCACAGTCAACCTGGACCATTCCATCCGCCGCCGCATGGGCCTTCTCCTGGCGGTCAAAGCGCTCAAGCCGCCCAGCCCGCCCAAGTCCCCAGCCGGCGACGCCCCCCACGCTGCTAATGGAGCCAACCACACCTCTTCGGCGGCCTCCACCGCCCACGGAGCCAGCCATGGAGCCAGCCACGACTCCCGGGCTGCCCGCGCTGTCACCAGAGCCAACCAGGCCCGCGAGGTCCCCCACCCCCGAGACATGAAGCACAGGCATAAGCCCAGACCCGTGGCTTGAGTGTCCTGCGCTTCGGGGAATCCAGCTTTCATTCAGGGGCGGTGCCTTGAATGAAGGACTCTGGGGCAGCAAGGGCAACAGTGCCCCCTCTGCCCAGATGAGGACACGTGCAGGGACCCAGAGCCCAGTGTTGGGAATGAGGCCTGTGGTGGCCACATTCCCCACGTAAATCTCTGAGAGTAGCTGACAATAGTGCCAGTATCCCAAAGCTGCAGGAGGACCACTGAAAACTCAGAGTTCAAGTGCAATAAATTAAGGCGTGAGAGCCCTTGATTGGTCTTGAGGCCCTGGTCTCCCTCCCTCAGCAAGAACTAGGGACCAGGCCTGCCCGGTTCTGCCAAGCCCATTCCCCCCAGGGAGCAGCAGTGTCAGCCGCATGGCTGGCATCCCGAGGGCAGGAGGGGCTGCGGGGTGGTGGGCGAGGCCCAAGCAGCGAGATGAAGGACAGATGTGCCACGCTGACTCAGGCGATAGAGAACACCCAGGCCTCGGGGGACCCAGGTCCTAGTCCCCATACCCAAGCCTGCGCCTCTGCAGGCCGGGCAGGAGCTGGCATTTCCGAGGGCAGTGTGGCTCTGCCCCCAGCATGAGTTGATTAGGTAGCGCTGGCAGCTCAGCTAGCTGGGTGGGCAGCACTGCCTTCCCGGACAAGTAACTGTCCAGAGGCTGCCTTAGGGTCATTTCAGGGCCCCTTGAGCCCCTTGAGGTGGTCAGGGAAGATGAGCAAAGCTGGGGGCATGTGTAGGACACAGTCGGAGCCAGAGCCGGGTCGAGGAGGGTTATCCTCGGGCTGGGCTCTGCCTGTCTGGCACACCTTCCCCTCCTGCCAGTGAGAGGCCCAGGATGGAGCGTCACTCCCCAGGCAGATTCCTGTTCCTCACTGGTCACATAGCCACACGCTCAGGCCTGTGGTGTGCCCCGCCCGGTCCAGGGTGGGGAGGGAGTACCAACAGGGTGTGACTGAGCCAGGACCCTGAGCAGACAGTGCCAGGAGCCTAGAGCTCTCAGAGCACCCACCCGCATGCCATGCAGCCTCGTGCGGGTACTGACATCATTCCTCATCTCCAAGGCTGGGTACAGCACCCCAGTGCCCCTGGCCAGTGATGGTGCTAAAGTGGATGTAGGGCAGAGCCAGCCGGTGACTTCACAGGCGATGCCAGGACTGAGGTGCCTGGAGAACCTGGACCTGCTGGGAGAGGTTTTCCAGCAGCAGGAGAGAGCCAGCCCGAGAAGGAAGCCCCTTGGAGAGAAACACGTTCCCTGTGACACCATTAGATCAGTGTCGCTGTGACTTGATATTGAGCAGAGCCACTCTATGTCCCTTCCCTTTCTTAAAAAATTTTTTAAAATTGATTTTAGAGAGAGGGAGAGGGAGAAGAGAGAAACATCAGTCAGGTACCTTCTGCACGAGCCAGCAACCCGGGCATGTGCCTTGACCAGGAATTGAATTGGTGACCTCTCAGTGCACGGGACGAAGCCCAACCGAGCCACACCGGCCAGGGCATACGTCCCTTCCATCTCCCTTAAGCCAGTATGATTGGGCTTCTATTTCTTACCACCTAGGGTCCCGGCAGAAAACAGATTGGGATCAGGAGTGGGGCGCTGCAGGAGGCAGGACTAGCCTTGGCTGGCGGTTGGGAGTGGGACTGAGGACCTCCGGCCCCAGGAAGCAGCTGCGGACCTGTTGTGTGGTTCCGAGCCGTGGTCAAACTGGTACCCGTTCATCTTAGACTCTGACCATGTGCCTGCCAAAGCTAGAGTTTTGGGAGACGATGAAAAAACTGAACTTAGCCGAAATGGGATGGCTGGGTGTGCCTGAGCTGGCTCGCTGTCCACCAGGATCTCGCTCCCCTTTAAGGTGTGGAGCTTTTGCTGCAACTTGCACCCAGGCGAGGCCAGGGGGCTAGTTCCCACAGACCACGGGGAGTGGAGGTGATGTGTGTCCCTTTCCTGCTGTGGCAACAAGATAGGCAGTAGGTTTGCCTTCATTCCTCCTCCCCCTACTCCACCTGCCTGTTGGATGCAGGAACCCTGAGGCCCTAGCCGGTAGCAGAGCCACAAGACAGAGGGGGCCTGGGCCCACAGCTTTGTGAAGAGCTGCCTCCACCCTGAACACCCATGTGTGTGAAAACGAACACCTGGGTTAGGGCATTGATACCTTTGAGATTGGATAGTGTCTGGCCAAGCATAAGACTCCTGTGTCCTCGAGCTATGGCAATGCCTGGGTGGCTGAAGATAAAGGGAACCCGCCCCGTGATCCAGGACTCCCAAAAGGTGGAAGATCAGGAGCCCTGAGGAGTTGGCTTGCTAGTCTCCTGGGGCTTGTGTTACAAAGTCCCACAAACTGCGTGGCTCAGAACAACAGAAACTCATTCTCTCACAGTTGAGGCCCAAAGTGCGAAATCAAGGGGTCAGCAGAGCCAGCACAGGGGAACCCTTCCTGGCCCCTTCCAGCTTTGAGCACTTTGTGGGGGATGAGGTCCCCTGGCTGTGGCCGCCATCCCTCCAGCCCTCCATCTTCACATCCACTGCCTGCCGTGCACATCTGGGTCCCACGCTCCCCTTTTCGTAAGGGCACCAGGCATTCAGGGTCAGGGCCTTACCCATGGCCTCATTTTCACTTGGTTACCTCTGTGCAGACCTGTCTCCAAAGGTCCCATTCTGAGGTCCTAAGGGTTAGGACTTCACGTTTTTGTGTGGAGGGAGGTTGGGACACATTTCAACCCTGAATGGTTGGAAAGACCGAATCCCTCACTCTGAGCTCAATTTAGTGAAAGAGCAGGGTCAAGGCTGTGGGGCGCCCCTCAAAGGCATCACGTGAGACAGGTACGCTGAGGCCCCCTACCCCCCTCTGGAGCCCAGCCTGTTGGCCACCAGCCTGGAGGTGGAGACAGAGGTCACCACGCTAAGGGCTGAACGCTCCCATGGGAGTTGATTCCTGAGCAACAGTTAGAACTGACCACAGGTCAACTGAGTTTGGGGGGGCGGGGGGCTGCTCTGACAGACCCAACCTGCCAAAGGACTGTGGCTCCTCAGCCTCTGAGGCTAACCTCACACTCCCCAGTCTCACCAAGAAGGAGGCCGAAGCCAGGAGAGCCTGGAGGGTTCGTCCCACCTCCACTGCACACCCAGCACAGGGGGCCCCAGCTCAGAACCAGGGCCCGTGCAGGTCTATCTCCCCAGCTGCCCGTGGGGTGAGTGGGGCAAGTGCTAGGGGCTGGGGGCCGATGTACATGGCGCACACACAGCTGCCAATGACCGAAAGGTCAACGGACAGTGGCTACTGGGAAGAGATTCCTGGGCCTGTGCAGGAGCCGAGTGGTACCAGGGCTCCCAGTCGGCGACACTGGGGTTCTTGTGGTCTTCCCTCCGCCTCTACCCACCCGAGTCAGCGTCCCACGCGGGAGAAAAGGGGCAGGTGCAAAGGTCTCCCCTTGAAGGCTGCTCTCACTTTCTGAAGGTGAAGTTCCGATTTCCCGGGAATGCCTTTCAGCCCCAGGCGCACCCTTGCCAAGTCCTGGCCGCGGGGAGCAGGCTGCCCAGGGGGCCCCAGGGCGCTGACTTGTGCCCCGCCCCCGCCCCCCGGAATGTCCAGATGTCCAGGGCCAGCGCGGGCAGGCTGGTGTCTGCTTCTCCTTGAGCCCACAGGAGTGACCTCTGAACCTGAGCGCCACATCACCTGACCCCTGGACCTAAAGCTGGAGAATATTTGGGGTTTTTTCCTCCGAAGAAAGATGAGCACAGAGTGGACTGGCCGTGGGAGCTGTTAGATACGAGCGTGGACACCCGTACAGGACGGGCAGCCCCGGGCTTCCTGGGGGGCCGCTGCCACAGCCCAGCAGGTGGTCCGGACCAGAGCTGTCTGCCCACCTGCCCCTCCCATGTCCAGGCTCCCACCGGGAAGAGCACGAGCGGCGAACAGGCAGAGGCGAACCCGCTCCGGTTTATTAGAAAAGGTGTGGACAGAGTTGCACCGCAGGAGCCCCTCCCCAGCCCTCTGCCCACTCCACCCCACCCTCCCCGGTCGTAGTGCCTCTCAGGGCGCAGCTTCCAGCGGCCTGGACAGCGGGGTCTCCAGAGCCCTGGCCCCCCGCTCCCTGATAGATTTATTGCACTTAAGAAAGCTCTGTCCTCTGCCCCCATCCCCCACCCGCACCCTGTCCGGGGCTGCTCTACAAAGTCCAACCACCACCTCTCACCGCCCCACACCATCCTCCTGCCTCGTCGTGCCCAGCGCCATGGGGGTTGGGGGGCATCCCACCACCACCCAGGACTCCTGCCCTCCCAGGCAAGCCTGGCCTAACAGGCCCTTCCGGAAAAGTCAGTGGATTTGGGGCTGATGACCTTGGAGATTCCCCCTCCTCTGGCCCAGAGGCGTAGGGGCTGGACACAAACAGGAGTGCTCGTCAGGATGGAGAGGGCCACTCCCTGTAGCTCCTGCCCCCCGTGTAGTGTTGCTGTGGGAGGTAGGGGTCCCCAGAAAGGCGCCCCCACCCCTGGCCTCGGGGCCTCAGGAAGGCTGGGGGTGAGGGGAGCAGGTTCCCATGGCTCTGGCCTCAGCTCATAGAAGACCGGCTGGAAAAAAGGAACTTGGGGAGAAGAGATTGGGGGGGCCTGTCAGAGCCAGGGCCTCTCTCGCTGGCTCCCCAGGCCCCTGGCCCTCATCTCACCTAAAGTGTCACAGTGTCTCCTGCCCGGATTCCTGACTGGCTTCCAGAAGCAGCTCCTCGAGCTCCTTCTCGTTCTTGGAGCAGCTCAGTTCTGCGTGGGGGGAATGGGTGGGCAGCCTCCAGTCAGGCGGGTGGAGGGTGGCAGCCTGTCCCCACCAGCCCTGCCCAAGCCAGACCCTCAGGCCAGGGTTCCTGAGATCAGACTCCAGGGAGAGCCCCAGGACCCGGGATGCCAGGTGGGGCCCGAGGGCCAAGCCCTACTCCGCCCTGGCTCTACAAGGGCCATTTCAGGGCAAACCAAGGCCGCTAATGGGCAGGGGTCGCACACAGCACACAGGGCCCCTGGTCAGCCTGCCCCAGAGCCCCGCTCACCGTGTTCCAGGCCACAGCTGCCCGCCTTGGCCCCGGGCCCCGGGGGCGGCTCTGGGGGCAGTGCGAGGGCAAACTCAGGCTTCAGGCCGTTGGGCAGGGGTGGCCCTGCCTGCGGCGGCTCTGGCTGTGGCTGAGGTTCCGACGACCCTGGGTCCCGAGTGCTGACGGCCTCAGCTGGTGGTAGGGCAGGTGAGGGGGGCGGGGAAGGCAAGGCAGGTGGGGATGGAGGACGAGGAGAGGGCGGCACAGGGGGCTCTGCTCTCTCAGGGGGGCTCTCCACTCGAGTCACCACAAACACTTTGTGGCCTCGGCCCGGGCTGGACACAGAGATTCGCTGCTCAGTGGGGGAGGAAGGGCTGCCTGGGGGGCTCCTATCCCCAGGGCCCAGGGAGTCCGTGGGGGGCAGTGGGGCGGGGCAGGGGGCCGCAGCCCTCTCCCCATCCTCCTCCTCCCCATCCTCCCCCTCGGAGTCTGAGTCTGAGTCTGAGTCCAGGCCGGGCCCAGGGGCCGGGTCCCCGTTCTCCTGAGCTTGGGGGGCAGGCTCGGCCCCAGGCTCCCCGTCAGGCTCCTCGTCGGGCTCCCCGTCAGGCTGGGGCTCGGTGACGGTGATCTCGGGCATGGAGGCCGACAGCTGCAGCCGCTGCTCCTTCTCCTCCCGCTCCCGCGCCTGCACGAAGTTGCGCTTGCAGCCGTTCTGGATCTCGGCGAGCAGCGCCTTCTGCGTCTCGATGAAGCTCTTCACCTGTGGGCAGAGCAGGCCTGGCTAGGGCTCGGGGGGCCTGTCCCCGCAGCATGTCCTGCGGTCGCGCCGGCCGAGTCCGCCCCGCCGGCCCGCAGCCCGGCCGAGGAGAGCCCGCTCACCGCCTCCTTCTTGGGCTCTCGGTCGAGGTCCAGGCGCAGCAGGGAGTGGTTCACCTTGAGGGCCAAGGACAGTGCCATGAGCCCGCCCGTCTTGATCTCGTTCTCCCGAAGGTCCAGTCTCAGGAGGCGGGGGCTCTCGGCGATGAACTCCGCCACCGCCACCGCGCCTGGGAGGGGGACCGCAGGGCTGGCCATGGGCCCACGCCCGGCTGGCCGCCCACCCCCCGCCTGCCGGCCCCTCCCCGGCCCGCGCCCTACCCTCGCAGGTGAGCTTGGTGGAGGCCAGGCCGAGGCGCAGCACGCTGCGGTTGCCGATGAGGCCGTTCTTGAGGTTGCGCACGCCCTCGTTCCCAATGGGGTTGTGGCCCAGGTTCAGCGTCTCCAGGCTCTGCGTGTGCGGCTGCAGGGAGCACGGGACGGAGAAGGGGCCTGCAGGCCGGCCGGGAAAGGGCGGACCCGGGCGCTCCCCGGTCAGCAGTGCAGCCAGCCTCTGTGCCAGCACACGCCTGCCTCAGGCCGAGAAGCCTCCCCAGTGCCAGCCGCCCTGCCCACTCCCCTGCGGTGGGGAGCTCGTCACCCGGGGGAGCCTCTGTACCCTGTGGGCTGGCTTTAAATTCTGCGTAATGAAAAGGTCTCAGCCTGACTGAGGCTTCTAGAGATCTTAACCAAACGGTTCCCCTTGTGCACAAGTTCTGTGCTGGCTCCACCGGACGGCGATGGAGGGCTACTCCCTCAGGGAAAGGCCGCAGGGGCTGAAGGAGAGGACAGGTCCAGAACCTACCGGGAGCACTGACAGTGCTGGGCGCGGGGGTGGGGGAGGTGGCGGCGGGGACCCTCCGGTGGACTCACCAGCGTCATGCCCAGGAAAGCCATGCCCGTGTGTGTGAGCTGGTTGTTCCACAGCACCAGGGTCACCAGGCCCTTCCTCTGCTCCTTGAGGCCCTCGCAGATGTAGGCCAGACCTGGCGGAGGCCCCTGGGTGAGTCCCGTCGGTGGTGTGGGCTCCACCCTCCTCTGGGTCTCCCGGCCCTGCCACCTCCTGCTGCGACACCCCTGCCTTGGCAGGCACACCCCCAGCTCCCGATCCTCCCTGTCGGCCTAGAGCTCTGCTGAGTATCACCCTCTCCCGCAGCCTCTGCCACCAGCGGAGCCCCCACCGCTGCTTCCTCCCCACCCCCGCAGCACACCACCTCCGACACTCATTCCCCGTTCATTTATCTTGGCTGCGCTTTCCCGAGGGCAGAGGTCTCCCAGCTGGGAGCCCGAGGTGACAGGCCTGGTCGGGGTGGGTCATCAGTAAACATGGGTCTGGGCCTGGCTGCCCTGGGGAAGGCACTGGCCTCCGTCCCACTCTGCCTGCCCCTCCTCCCCTTTCTTCACGCTGAGGCCAGGGACTCTGCCCAACAGTGAGCCCGACCCAGGCGGAATTCCTCCCGCTGGTAGCTCCTCCTCTCTTCCCTTCCAGCGCCTGGCTCACCACAGCCTCCCCCAATTCTAACGTGTAAGTGCTTTCCCACCTCACGCCTCAAACCAGCTGTCCTCTGCCTGGACTCTCCCCAGGCTGTCAAACCAGGGGCTGTGCTCTCAGCCCCACATGGCCACCTAGCGGTCCCCTCCCTGCGACTTAAAGAGCCTCAGCTGACCTTTTGTCCCAACAACCTCGTTTCAGGGCACTTTTCCCAGATTGTAATTTATTATTATTATTTTTTAAATTGATTTCAGAGAGGAAGGGAGAGGGAGAGAGAGAAACATCAATGATGAGAGAGAATCATCGATTGGCTGCCTCCTGCACGCCCCCCACTGGGGATCGAGCCTGCAACCCAGGCATGTGCCCTTGACCAGAATCGAACCCGGGACCTGTCAGTCCCCAGGCCGACGCTCTATCTACTGAGCCAAACCAGCCAGGGCGATTGTAATTATTTTAATTATCTGTTCAATACCTCACCTCATCCTGCAGGTCTCCACCGAGCTGCCCCTGCTCCAGGACACGCTCCCTGACCCCTGGACGGGGCGGTAACCCCCTCTGGGCGGTAACCACCGGCCCACACAGTCTGAGTCTCACTGCCTGGGGGGGTCTGGGCTCACTGTGAACTCTGAGCCGCACGAGAGCAGAGCTGGGGTTGTCTTGGCCACTGTGCGTCCCCAGCACACGGAGCCTGACTGGGCACAGTGGGTGCTGGGTGACGGGAGCGCGGGTGACCTCTCACACACCTGAGTCCAGCACGTGGTTGTTACGGAGGTCCAGGATCTGCAGGGAGCAGTTGAACTTGAGCAGGTTGCCCAGCTGGGCTGAGTCCTGCAGGCCATTGAGCTTGTTGTCGGCCAGGTACAGCTCCCGAAGGTTCATGTTCATCTTCAGGGCTGTGGCTGGAGGAGAGGAGGGCTCGTGACTGGCCAGGCTCACAGGACCCAGCCAACAGTCCCAGCCCCCAAGGGGCTGCACTCCCCACCCAGCCTCCGGCCCTGGGCTCACCGAGCAGCACGAGGGGCCGCCCCGACAGGCTGGCGTTCTCCAGGTGCAGCACGGCCAGGCTGCTGCGGATACGCAGGGCACGGGCCACGAAGGGCGCGGAGTGGTCCAGCAGGGGCGTGTTGCGGGCGTCCAGGTACTGCAGACAGCTGGTCTGTTGGGGCAGCAGCAGGGCTGGGTCAGGCTGGCCCCTGCCCTCCCTGCCCCAGGGGACCTCGCACCCCAAGTCCCAGGAGCAGCAAGGCCATCTGCTTTTACAGCTGGGGCTGGTGCTGGAAGGCCTGGCCTGGGGTCCTGTGGGTGAGCGAGGCAGGGGTGGGGCTGGTGACGGCCGAGTTCCCCGACTCCCGTGGGAGTAACGTGGGGGTGGCGACCATGGATGCCTCCAAGGGATACATTAAGGGTGAGGAGAGGAGGAGAGAAGGGGCCAGGTGGGCCTGGGGCAAGGCATCTCTTAGTACAGCTTTCACACAGGGCCTGGAGGGTGGGGCCCGACAGCCCTAAGGAGCTGGGTGCCCTGACAAAGCACCTGGACCCCTCTATGCCCGAGCTCCCCCCACTCTGGAAACTTGGAGAGGTGGCGGGGGAGGCACTCACCTTGCGCATCATGTGGGCGGCGGCCTGCCAGCCCCGGGTGCCGATGTGCTTGTTGAAGGAGATGTTGAGGTGGGTGGCGGACTCGTAGTACTCGATCATGTCAAAGAGGGCTGAGGCGCCCTGGGGTGGAGACAACGGCTCAGCCTCGGGTGGAGGCCGTGGACACCGGGAGGTAGGAGCGGAGTCCTAACACTGCTCCCGCACCTCTGGGTCCTGAACCAGCCCCTCCATCTCCTGGAAAAGCCTCCTACGTGCCCCCAGGACTGACGTGCTGTGTGACCAGGACAGGCCTCAGTTCTCCAGGATCCCGACCCCTGGCTCTCCTGTGTCTTCTAGACCTGGGGCCTAAGCTCCGGGGATCCTGGTGACCCCCAAGTCTCCAGAGGGAGGAGGGGATACCTAGGCCTAGTGGGGAGGCTGCTTTCAGACATCTCAAACCTGCCCTGGCTGGTATGGCTCAGTTGGTTGGAGCATCATCCCTTGTACCAGAAGGTCACGGGTTCGATCCTGGGTCAGGGTGCATGTGAGAGGCAACCGATCAATGTATCTCTCTCACATTGATGCTTCTCTCTTTCCCTTCCTCCTTCTCTAGAAATCAATAAAAAAAAAGAAAAAAAGAAAAAAGGAAGTTCTCAAACCCCTTCCCCTGCAGACACTATGATGGGGGGTGGTGGCAGGACACTCCTGGAAAGGCTCCAGGTGGCCACAAGCCTCCCTCTGGCCTGGCTCCCCAAGTCTCTCCCTTCCTTACAAAGCCCCTGCCTTTCGGGGGGTCTGGGAGACCCCTTCTCTGGGCCCTGCCTGGAGCCCCATTCTTCCCATCCACTCTGGTCACACTGGATTTCCCTGTTTTGTCCTTCAAGAGGCCCTGCCCAGCCCTTGTCCAAGGGGGTCCCTCCTCCTGCAGTGCCCCAGCCCCCAAACCTCTAAGAGCCAGGGAGCTCAGGAAGCAGTAAGGGTGGTGGCAGAGATGCTCACATCTTCGTCCAGGTTTGTCTGCTCCAGGTCCACGACCTTGAACTGCAGCCTCTTGAAGACCTCTTCCAGGGCCTCGCAGGCCTTGTAGTCGAGCTTCTCACCTGGGAGGGGACGGAGCGCGTGCGTGCGTGTGTGAGCTCACATCTGTGTGTGGGGGGCTGGGTGCAAACCGGGGCTCTAGGCCACCCGAGGAAGGGCTCTCACCCCCACCTCCCTCCGGCTAAGCTCTTCGGGGGGACCCACTGACCCCAGCAGCCCAGGCTCATCCTGCCCTCGGATCCACCTCTAGGGAAGGTTGGCCCTGCCCACCCCTTAGGGCTCCCACCTCTGCCCAGACACACCTTTCAGGTCCAGACAGTCAATCCGGTGCCCGAGGTCCGTGAACTCCTGGGAAGGCAGGAGGGATGGTGGTTAAGCAGGAAGCGCCTTACCTCTGCAGTTCATCTGGCTCTGCTCTTTCTGAGGTGAGGCAGGGTTTGGGGTGGTGTGGAGGGGCACAGCGGCTCGGAGAATGTGGCAGCTCCTTAACCACCCCCCCAACACCCCCCTAGACCTGGGGCGAGGCAGGTCTGGACGCAGCCCCCTGCCCCAGCTGAATGGAGTGAGGGGTGGGCCCTGGGCGTCTTGGGGACAAGCATTTCAGGCAGAGGAACAGCCAGAGCAAAGGCTGTGAGGCAGGCGCTGAGGCGAAAGCTGACAGGTGAGGCCCAAGAGGCCGGGGGAAGGCGGGGTGCCCAGCCTGGCATGCAGTCCGCTCAGTGAGGAGGGAAGGCCCTGGGCAGACGTCCTGCCGGCTCCTGGCTGCGCTCCAGCCCCCTCCCCAGGGGCCAGGCCCTATTCCCTGGGCTCCACACACATCGACTCTGAGGGAGGAGCGGTGACGAACCGTGTGCAGACAGAGGCCAAGGCCCAGCCCTGCCGAGGGGGTAAGGGCAGGCTTGGCCTGAACCAGGCTCCAGGGCCCACTGAGTGGCCATCTTTCCCTGGACCCGACAATGAGACCCTCTGGGATCCTCACAGAACCCCTAGCCCGGGTGTGCAGGGATGGGCGGCCGGCATGACCGCTCACAGCCGCGCTGTCCGAGGGAGCAACAACCCTAGAAACAAGAGACGTGGCACATTCTGGAGGCCCTTCGGCAGCGCTGGACCCCCAGCCGGGCCGGGGGCCCCGGGAAGGCGCCCGCAGGAGGTGGCTGGGGGAGGGGCGCACGTCCAGGCACAGTAACACCCTCGCCACAGAAATCAGACTGTCCTCCCGCCTGGAGTGACCGCCGTCCTACAAATGCCCAGCAGAGGCCAGAGGACAAAGCCCAAGCTGTCAGCAGCAGGGACGCCTGGGGATGGGACTTGGACAAGAAGTGAATTTTGCTTTTTATGTCTGTAGTGTTTTTTTAATTAAAGAATATATATTACTTTTGTAATTCAGGCTTTTAAGAATAACTATTGTATACGTGGCTTTGTGCCCGGGGAACAGAGCTTTCCTAGGGAGGGAGGGATATTTACAATCCTTACTTTACGTGAGTCTCTACCGTGTGAATGTTCACGAGGAGCCTGACTGCACCTGCAGCAGACGGAGGGCTTTCCGAGGCTCCTGAGTGCAGGCCCGGGGCCGGGTGAGCAGGCTGGGCAGTGGGAGTGCCGCGGGCGCCCTCTCCGCCAGGGCAGACAAAACAGGCCCGGAGGCTGCTGGGAGGTGGGGAGCCCGCCCCTGCCTGCATACCTGGAGCTGCCTGAGGAGCTTGGGGATCTGTCTGCAGTTCAGCTTCTGGCAGGCCTGCTTGTAAGCGCCGATGACCTCGTCCACAGTCACGTTCTGGGCTGCGGGCACAGAGGACCCCAGCCTGTGACTCTCCACATTCTGGGTCCCTCACACCCTCTCCCCTCCAGCCCCAGGCCTCTGCCGGCCCCTTCCCCTCTCAACAACCCACTGAGCTCTGTTCTCCCGTCGAGGGCCCCTGCTACCACACTGTCCTGGGAAAGTGCCCCCAAACCAAGTCACCCCACCCTCCACGCCTCCCCATGGCTCCCTGAGCAGTTTCACACAAACAATACACAGCTAATACCACTCAATGCTCTGCTTGTCAGCTGCCCGTCCCCCCCCCCCCCCCCCAAACTCAGGGCCCCACAGGGCAGGGCTGGGCTGTCTTGGTTGCCACCATTCCCCATGTCAGCCCAGGGCCAGGCCTAAAGCAGGTGTCTGATGGGTTGTTTTCTGCAGGAGAGAACGAATCTGTGAAGAAGCTGAGCTCAGAGAGGTGAGGCACCTCGCCCCGTCACACAGCCGGTCACACAGCCGGGAAGCGACAGGGCCGAGCTTCAAACTCAGCTCACGGTGAGGCCATGCGGCCTCTGAGAATCCCCAGTCCTGAAACACCTTCACCACAAAACCTTCCCCGACGGCTCTGGGGCTGGGCAGAGGGACGCAGCCCAAGCCCAGCAGCTGCACTGCCCAGACCCCCCACCACAGGGAAGGCCTTTCTGGCCGCACACGTTTGCTCTTCCAGACATTTAGCAAAAGGCGACCAGCAGCACGGGCCTTTCTGGCTTCTTTCACACGGATTTTGAGTTTGGGCCCCTTTATAGCACAGCTAGTGCTGGTGCATGAATTCGTGCACACCGAAAGGAAATTAATTAGAAGAAATATTTTAATATCACTATTCGCCCTTTCTCTATAATAGAAGTGTCAACCAAATTCACAATGGAGGATGAAAGATCGAAACACACGCGTGCACCCTAGCTGGTTTGGCTCAGGGGATAGAGCGTCAGCCTGCAGACTAAAGGGTCCTGGTCGACTTGTCAAGGGCCCGTGCCCGGGTTGTGGGCTCAATCCCCAGTGTGTGTGTGTGTGTGTGTGGGGGGGGGGGGGCATGCAGGAGGCAGCCGATCAAGGATTCTCCCTCATCATCAATTATTCTAACATTCCCTCTCCCTTCCTCTCTGAAATCAATAATTTTTTTTTTTTTAAAAAGAAACACATGTGTGCTATTGGCGCCAGCGAGAGCTTTATATGTATCACACATGTGCGAGTCAACTTAGCCTTTCATAGATATAGAATAAACTTGCTTAATTAGACCTGCTTTCTGATGTAGCTAAACCTTTTCCAGCCCAGTGAAGCACCCCAACTTCTCTTTCAGGTAATTGCAAGCAACACAGCAGTAAATATCAACAGGAAGCAGGTTATTATTGTAGATCACGCAGGGAGAATAAAGGGTGAAATATTTAACTGCAGCAGCGTTTGACTATATTCTGCGCAGTTAGAAAACCTGAAGTCATTTTCAAGGTCCACCATTTCTTACCTCTTTTCAGTCGGGTCAAGTTTCTAAGCTCTCTAAATCTCTGTTTTCCGGCTAATGAAAAGAAAATAGGATTCCACCGAGTCTCCTATCTACCTACCCCAGGACTTCTGTGGGGATCAAATGAGATGAGGCACGGGAAAACGCTTCACAGACATTTGGTTACAGTGTGAAATGTTTGCACCTGGCTATAAAGCAAGTTGTGTTCCTGGGCTGAAGACAGTTCAAGGAGGTTGGTCGCTAGGGAGAGGAAGTGGGCGTGGCTTAGCATATTAGCTAAGCGGACGGACGGACACTTAGCATATGAGCCTTTTATATATACAGATAAAGTAACTGTCGGAAGTACCATTCACCAGGTAGTGAGACATTTGTATTGTTTTCCGTTTTAGGCTATTAGATCTTGGATTTTGCCCCAGGTGACCAGAAAGACAGGAAGTTAATGCTCTGAGCAGGGGAGGGAAAGGGTCAGGCTGGTGTAGAAAGCTCTTGAGGCCACCGGCCAGTGTGGCTCAGTTGGTTGAGTGTCATCCCATGCACCAAGAGGTCACTGGTTCGATTCCTGGTCAGGGCACATGGCAGAGTTGCAGGCTCGATCCCCTGTGGGGAGGGGGCGTGTGCAGAGGAGGCAGCTGATTAATGTTTCTCTCTCTCTGTCTCTCAAATCAATACCCCCCCCACCCTTTTTTTTTTTAAGGAAAGAGCTCTTGGGGCCAGCAGAATGGAACGGAGGGGGGTGGGGAACAGAAAGAGGGCCTCTGCAGCCTTCCAGGCTTCCCTCACCCCTGTGCCACCCTGGCCAGGCAAAGGGCCAGCAGGAGCCCTGCAGGGATTCCAGGAAAGTGGCTCCGCGCAGAGAGCAGATTCTCCCCCAGGCAGTGCGCTCGCCCGGGGCCCTGCACCCACTGTCACTGACCACCACCCTGCTTCCCAGGGCAGGACGCCGAGGTTCAGGGGCCCTGCACCCGCTGTCACTGACCACCACCCTGCTTCCCAGGGCAGGATGCCGAGGTTCAGGGGCCCTGCACCCGCTGTCACTGACCATAACCCCGTCTCCCGGGGCCGGACGCCGAGGTCCAGGACAGAAAAGCTGCCTCCCACAGCCAGGCAGCCAGGGCAGCACAAGGGGGAGCCCTGGCTCCAGAACGCTCTCCCCACTGGGGTGGGGAGGCTGGAACCCTGTGTTGGAGGTGAAAGGCCAACAGAGACGCAGCCACCCGAGGGACAGGCCTGTCCTCTGCCCCTCACTTCTTCCTCGGGGAGCTGCGCCCACGAGCAGCCTCCCGGGGGCCAGCTGTCCGCCCGCAGGCCCGGCAAGCGAGCTGTCTGCCCGCAGGCCCGGCGAGTGAGCTGTCTGCCAGGTGCTTGGTGCCCAGCTCTGGGAAAACAGGAGCTGGCCCTACCTGGAAGGCGGCCCTTGGGACTCCAGCAGCTGCCTCTGCGAGTCCAGCCAAGCAGGTCCATGACCCTCAGGGCGTCTATGAACTTGAGTGGGGAAAAATGATCTCTTTATTTTCAATAACTGCACTACAGTGAAAATTAGCATTTCCTAATTAATATGGTGTTTAGCAGACCCTGTGACTCTGTCACCAACACACGTGCCCGAAGTTTTCACATATTACGGCAGCTTTAGGATGTTCATCACTCTTGCTATTTCCTGGGTCAATAAGGAAGAACATAAATACCAAGTTATAATTTTAAAAAATGTAGCTAACTGTATTTTAACTGGCACCCTTTGCAATCCTATTTTATTTTTTTGCCTTTGAAAATCATCACTCTAAGAAGGGATCCATAGGCTTTATCATCAGATGGCCAAAGGGCACAAACCTCTCCATAAAGGCCCCAGGCTGGGTTGGCCTGGTCAGGTCGTCTGGGATGGAGTAGGGACTGGGCATATGTGGGGTCATTACTAGCAGTTCTCAGCATCCCAGACAGTTTGCAGGGAACCAGTAATGCCTAAGCAACCCCTCAAACTGTGATTGGTCCTTGAGGTGTTTTACTCTGACACCCCTTCCTCCAGGAAGTCCTCCCTGACTTCCCAGACTGAGCCAAGTTTCCCCTCTGCTGCCCAAAGTCCTCAAGGAGCCTCTGGGTGAGCTAAAGACCCAGGGTCTCTAACCTGGCTGCCTCCACACCACCCACAGCTGCCATCCGACTATCTCTTCAGCCAGACATCTACCGGGTTTGGATGAAGGCACAGCCTCACAAAAGGTTACAGCCAGAACTCAGGAGACTAGCCCTGCCCACGCATTTACCGAAGAGGAAACTGAGGGCAGCGGGCAGGAGGGGTAGACACACTTAGAGAAGGGTCTTGGTGCCCCCCGATGACAAGAATGAGAACTGCATCTTGTTACTTAAGGCACACTTAGGAGGTGGAGGTAGTGCTGGGAAAAGACACTAAAGGAACAGAAGTGGGCTCAGTCAGTCTACTGCAGAATGGGTTGGCAGCCTGGGTGCACCCCCGCCCTGCCTCGACGTCCCCAGCAGCATCCCGAGCTCGTCCCAAGCTTCCACGTCACCAGTGGGGGCATACAGTGTCGGGTGGCTCGGGAATGACCTTATAGTAATCATGATGTGTGTGTTTCATTCGTGTATTAAGAAAAACAAACTACCATAGCAAAACCAGCATTCTACATGTTGTCCTTCGGGAATGAGATAAAATATTCAAATAAAAAAAATGAACCAATTTAAGAAGAAATGGCAAGAAAACAGCAGTGCAGGTGTTTCAGAGAAATAATACGCAGCATCTTCACAGCACTCGCGCTGTGCCAGGCGGCCCTGCACACACTTCTCCTCTGTCATGTGATGAAGTGGCCACCGGAAAACACCGGGAAGGTCAGTACTGGGGACTGCAATGCAAGGGGACCACCAGCAGTGCAGAGGCCCCGAGGCAAGGGGCTGGAGGCCCAGGCTGGAGCGCCAGGGCCAGGCTGCGAGGCGGGGCTGCAGTGGTAACGCCTGCCGTGACCGGGGCCTGAACCCTCGCTGCCTCCCTCCTGCACTGCGACCTCAGACGGGGCCTTGCAGGTCCCACATGTGGGCCCGGAGTCTCGGAAAGTGGTTAAGAACATAGGCTGTGGCCCTGGAGGGCAGGGCTCCGTAGTAGAGCGTCAGCTTGCGCACCGGGGGGTTGTGGGTTCGATTCCTGGTTAAGGGCATGTACTTGGGTTGCAGGTCTGATTCCTACATGTGGGAGGCAACCTATCGATGTCTCTCTCACATCGATGTTTCTCTCTACAAAACAGAGAAAACAGATTTAACCCTGGGCCTCCATCGCCTTCTCCCTAAAATGGTGGTGAGTGTACCTCGGGCTGTCTGTCCCTCAGAACCGGGTCTGGCACACACTCTGGCGCGCTCACTAAATGCCGCCATCCCTGTGTTCCTCCCCCACTGGAAGGCAGGGACCCGGACAAGCCCACGAAGCACCTATCCAGGGATGGGCCGCTTGGTGAGGCCAGGCAGACACATGGGTGTGTGAGGTGGACATTCATTTGTGTCTCAGGTTCAAATGTGTTGGCTCAACTCCCA